AAAATGGGAACATAGCAAATTGTTCTTGCATCTAAAACATTTGGGGTGAATTATTTGTACTTTTTGTCTGTGTTTTCTGATTTTATTTTATCAGGTATTTATATTGAATGATTTTTTTCAGAAAATAAATACCAAATTACCATAGTAGTAGGTTGGCCTCTAGTGGTTAAAGATGAATGGAATGTGTACATGAAAATAAGAATTCAGTTTTTGTCCTGTTAAAAAAGAATAAACTCATTTGAGTGTCCAGTAAAGTACTGAGAAGACAAACCTCTTCTCTTTTATACATGTTATGTTTGATTTTCACAACTTATTAGTCATTCAAGCTCTGAACAAATTTTCTCTGAGTTGGCTATTAAACTCCTCATGGTATCTTTCTGACCAAATCAATAACTCAAATCTTGACCCTGCGTATTAGCTCCTGGTTCCCTGTTTCTTCCCCATGCCTGAAAAAGCCATTGCTGACTTTCATAATGTAGGACATTTTCTAGAGTCTTACTTGATTCAGCAGATTTGCCTGAGAGGGAATGAAGCGTGGAGATTTAGATGGAACTGTCTAACACAAGAACATGTTACTCTATCATTAATGAGAAAAACTAAATCATTGTTCTGTTTTACCCTGGGTTTCAAAGTCAATTTGCTTTTTTTGCAGGTAACTGACAAAAGTGGGGAGTCAAATTATTAATTCACAACAAGAGACAGCATGTTACTTGTTATACAATCAGCCCTCAGTGTTCTAAATGATGGACTCAATGAGGATGAACCAAAGAGGTCACCTTCAGATATATTATTATAATGAAAATTATTGGCCTGGGATCAGTAGAACAAGATTATACCAAAGACCCCTTTCTTTTGTGAAATACGATTTTTCAAATATGACAAGAACTGCAAAATAAGATGAATGCTTTTCTAGAGGAAAGCAGATTCTTCTGATCCTCTATTTTGGATTCTTTACCTCTGCAACTCATGGGCAGAGTTTTAGCTCTACGTAACACGGGAAGGACTGAGAGGGGTCTAGGATGTTATTGAAACTAAGCAGTTACTATAGAGGACAGTTGCATTCAAGCAACTGAGTTACCTGCAAATTTGGTGTGGTACAGAAAAGCTAAAAGAATACAACCAACACCCATAAAAATGGCTAGCTATTATGGGAATAATATTGCAAGCTAAAAATAGTTTGGATAGAAGAGAAAATGGTTTCAGAAGTGGTTCATCAACCTCAATGCAAATTTTGCACAAAAAAGGGTGCACTGTGAATCCATTATACTCCACTATTGCCTTTCACTAGACGTTGTTTCACCTTGTCAAGGAAATAGTTAAAAACATGAAAGACCTTGACTAGGATACTAGGCTATTAAAGTCATTTTAAAATGATCACATTTCCATTGAGTAAGAATCAGAGTGAGTGGAAATGGGCCTTTGACAAACCATATTTCAGTGTCGAATAGTAAAATTCAGTGCAGTGTCCTAATAACCCATTCAAAATCTTTAGTAACTTGACATGATCATTAAACAGCTGAATACATGCTTTTACAGCATAGGAATTAGAAAAGGTGACCTCTGCTTTGTCAATAATATGGCTCATCTCTTTGTTCAATATATATCAGGCTCTGCACTATCCGTGAAGAGCCTGATGCCGGACTTGTATTCACCAATGGTGAGATCACAACCTAAGCCAAAGTCTGACTGAGCTACACAGGCGTCCCTTAAAGTCAAATATTTAAATCAAATGTATGTTTTGTTACTCAGCAATTTTATTAAATGTTATTATCTGTAGTAATTGTTATTGAAAAATATTGTTCATAATTATTTGGAGTTTTCTTTGCAGAAAATCATAAAATGTGCAAATAATGACAATTTCATTTCTTTATTTCCAGTGATTTATTTTACTACTATTCATTGTTTCATTTTACTATAATTTAGTTACAAAACTTGGCAGAAATTTCTTTGCCGTCAATTTACTCCTTCACTCCTTTTTCTTTTCATTTTTACTTTTTATTTTTTTTAATGTTTTATTTATTTCTAGGAGAGAGAGAGAGAGAGAGAGACAGCATGAGCAGGGGAGGGTCAGAGAGAGAGGGAAACGCAGAATTGGAAACAGGCTCCAGGCTCTGAGCTGGCAGTCAGCACAGAGCCCGACGCGGGGCTCAAACCCATGAACCTTGACATCATGACCTGAGCGAAAGTCGGACGCTTAACCAACTAAGCCACCCAGGCGCCACTCTTTTCATTTTTAAATGAACTATAATGCACACATAGAAGTGCATGACTCAAATTACCACAGAGAAAGTATGCCTGTATTCATCACCCTGATCAAGAAGTAGAGCTTTAGAAGAACACTGGGAGCTCCTAATAGGCCCTCTCAATTATGACCTCTTCTTTCTCCCAAAAGAGTAATTGACATCTGACTTTGAACATCATAGTTTTGTTTTCGTGTTTTGAATATTTTGTAAGTAAGATCAAATAGTATGTTTGTCTTCTTTTGTTCCATATTATATCCATTATTTATTCTGATTTTCATTTCTAAGTAGTTTTTTTCATTTTGAAAACTGTTACATATAATATGAATATAACATTATACATATATTTTTTTCTGCTGATGGACATTTGGATTGTTTCCAGTTTTTACTTATATAAGAAAGACAGCTATATACATGATCATATATGTCTTTTAGTGCACATGTGCATGTATATATATTTTAGCATATACCTGTAATTATATGGCATTAACAGATACTGATACTCCATTATCCAAAATGGTTGAACCAATTTATATTTCCATCAGCAGTGTCAAAGAATTCCTATTGCTTTATATTCATGCCAGAACTTGGTATCATTGTTTTTTTAAATTTTTGCCGTTTCGGTAGGTGTATAGTTGTATCTAATTGTTTTAAAAAATTGTTTTTCTGACCATTTGTGGGGAATAAGCTTAGTAATTCCCTGGGCTCGCACCGATCTATTAACAAGGCATAAAGAATTAGAAAGCCATAGGATGATCACACCCAAGTCTGGGTAAACAAGATTAGGTAAATAGGTATAGAGAGGGTGGAGCAAAGGCCCCAGTACAGAGAGGGCAGGGCAAAGGCCTCAGTATAGAGAGGAAGGGGCAAAGGCCCATATACCTATAGAATAAGGTATATGAGGTAAACAAGATTAAGTATTTGAGAAGAAAACGCCCCCCCAATTTAGTACTATAGCAGAAAGGTGCTTTCACAGGAAGGAAGGATCAAATTAGGTAAACAGGTAAATAGGGCTACACACAGCTGCAGGGTGAAGTTGACCAGAGCAGAGCTAATTAACAAAAGAAAGGTGCCTTGTTGACCCTGAGGTAGCATGCTCTGTCTTTCTTTTCCCCTAGACGAGTTTAGGTAAACAAAAGTGGTGCCTCATGTCTGTTGTAAATAACCTTCAACCCAGCTGCCATGTGGCAGGATCTTGTTTTGTATTAACTCAAACCCCTAATCCTGCATATCTTCAAAATCCCCTGCTCTCGCATTCGTGAGTTAATGTTCACAGTTGCAGTGTCTGTGCACATCCATCACCATTCCTGATCCTAATAAAAATGGAGCAAGGACCCTTAACAGGGTTCTTGTCTTCTCCTGGATATTAGGCATTTGTTGCATTTTAATCCCGTACATATCCTGCTTTCTTGCTAGACAAGACAGAACTCTAGACCCAGAGTCTACCACAAAAATTAATGGGGTTGGTCATCTTTTTGTATCTTCATATGTCAGTTGGATATCTTAAATCTTTATTTTGCCTTTCACATTTAGATCTATAATTATCCTATAATACATTTTTATATATAATATGAAGTAGGGGCAAGATTCTAATTGTTTCAGCACTACATTCTTCAGTTCTACCTTTATATAAATCAAGAATTGATACCATTAAAGTTATCTTACTATGCTCCAGAGGTTTTATACTTCCATATAAGTTTCGTAGTCATATGCCATGTACAAAAGTCTTCCTGAGAATCTTGAGATTGCATTGACTCTCTAGGTCGATTTGCAGTGAATCGACAACTTCAAATTTTGATTCTTCAATTCCATGAATATAGTATATTTCTCTATTAATTTTTTCTCTTATTTCTCTGAATATTTTGCTATTTTTTGTACTTTCTAGCACATATTTTTTTCCAATCTGTTATTAAGTCCCTGATATTTTCAAATATTGTTAATTTTTAAAATCATTTTCTGTATATGGAAATCGTTTTCTGTGTATGGAATTAAAAACTCATTTTTGTACATTCATTGAACTTGTATCCACCAATCTTGCTGAATCATATCTTTATTTTACTTTCTCTTTAGTATTTTTCTAAATTTTTGTCACTTTCCAATTCACTTACAGTGCTTCATTCTAATTTTTTTAATGTTTATTTATTTTTAAGAGAGAGACAGAGTACAAGCAGGGGAGGGGCAAAGAGAAAGGGACACACTGAATCCAAAGCAGGCTCCAGGCTCTGAGCTGTCGGCACAGAGCCTGACATAGGGCTCAAACTCACAGACTGTGAGATCATGACCTGAGCCGAAGTTGGACACTTAATGACTGACTCAACCAAGCGCCCTTTGAGTGTTTCATTCTAATTTATATTAGAAATTCATAACTTTTTCTCTCCTTGTGTTTAATTGACTATTAACCCATCCATTGAGTTCCTAATTTTAGTTATTGTATTTTTTAGTTCCTAAATTTTTCCCTAGTTATTTCTTTTTTAATTCTAGTCCTTTGCCAAAATTCTCCACTTATATATATTTTTTGTCTATGAATATATTAAGGATAATTATTTGAAAGTACATTTCCTAATTCAATGGTCTGAAGTCACTGAGTTTATTTCTTTTTTTAAAGATTCTGTTAATGTTTATTTTTTAGAGAGAGAGATGGAGCGTGAGCAGGCCAGGGGCAGAGAGAGAGGGAGATACCGAATCTGAAGAAGGCTCCAGGCTCCCAGCTGTCAGCACAGACCCCAAAGTGGGACTTGAACTCACGAACCACAAGATCATGAACTGATCCAAAGTTGGACGCATAACCAAGTGAGCCACCCAAGAGCCCCTCACTGAGTTTATTTCTATTGTCTGTTTTATCTCCTTGGTTTTGGCACACTTTAGCCTCCTGCTTCCTTAATGCCAGAAATTGTATATTTAATTTATATTTTATATTTAATACCAAATATTTTAAGTAAAGAAAATTATAGAAATATTAGGAGTCTTAGGATGATAACTTAATGTTATCTTCCTCCAGATGTTAACTTCTTCCAGAAATTATCTGTAGTTGTTTTTTCCCCAGGAGGCTAGAACCAATCTCAGATTACCTCAGTCCAGCTCTGGAATTGAAATTATTATCCTTACACGTGGAGCTGAACGCTTTTGGATACATACCAAAACTTGTGACTTTAGAGTACCATTCTCCCACTGGCAAGCTCTGAACATCAACTTTTTAGCCTCAGTCCATTGAGGATGTTGATTTCTTCAGCTTTTCATCCTCTCAGTTTTCTTTCCCAGGATCTGTGTATATCCCTAGGGAAAAATTGGCTACAATGCCACATTTACTTAGCTGCATTTCCTTCTCCCCCCACCCCCATCTATTTCCACAATTTCTCATTGTTCCTTTTGTTGCTGTTGTTGTTTCAGTGTTTTCCTTTTTTTTTTTTCGGGGGGGGTTGTTGTTTTTAGTTTTTTAGTTTCGTTTTGTTTGCCAATGGCTTCAAATATGTTTCTTGGGTTAGTCTAATTTATCCAGTTATTTTCATTTCAAGGGTGGAGCTTAATTATTTAATGTTCCTTTGCTGAAATTTAAAATTTCTTTTTCTTATTTCTATTTGAAAGAAAGAAATGATGAGAAACTTTCAACAAAAGAGAATATATAGGAATGTCCACTGACTGTCTATTATGTGCTCCACTGTTAGTTTATATTTTCATTAATCATCTCCAAATTTTGTGAAGTCATTACTTTTTATCTCTTTTCAGAGTTTAACAAAATGAAACACAATAACCCTGGGAAACAGTGGCTAGAAATTTAACCCCATAAGTGCTTTTCGTATATTAATGGGGATAGGGCTAAATGCAGTACTTAATCCAGGAGATCTGGGATGTGTCTTGAGACTGTATTTCTTTTTTGTAAAATATAATTTATTGTCAAACTGGCTTCCATACAACACCCAGTGCTCATCAAAACAAGTGCCCTCCTCCATGCCCATCACCCACTTTTCCCTCTCCCCCTCCCCCCATCAACCCTCAGGTTTTTTTCTATATTTAAAAGTCTCTTACGGTTTGCCTCCCCCCCTCTCTGTTTGTAACTTTTTCCCCTTTCCTTTACCCATGGTCTTCTGTTAAGTTTTTCAAGTTCCACATATGAGTGGAAACATATGGTATCTGTCTTTCTCTGACTTATTTCACTTAGCATAATACCCTCCAGTTCCATCCACGTTGCTGACAATGGCCAGATTTCATTCTTTCTCATTGCCAAGTAGTATTCCATTGTATATATAAACTACATCTATTTATCCATTCATCAATTGATGGACATTTAGTCTCTTTCCATAATTTAGCTATTGTTGAAAGTGCTGCTATAAACATTGGGGTATATGTGCCCTATGAATCAGCACTCCTGCACCCCTTGGATAAATTTCTAGTAGTGCTATTGCTGGGTCAAAGGGTAGTTCTATTTTTAACTTTTTGAGGAACATCCACACTGTTTTCCAGAGCGGTGTCACCAGTTTACATTCCCACCAATAGTGTAAGAGGGTTCCCATTTCTCCACATCCTTGCCAGCATCTATAGTTGAGACTATATTTTTATGAGTGTCCAGACGAGGTTGATGTTGCAATTCCATAGACTATTCACTAAGAAGAAAGGTGCAACATCATACGTCCAGAACAGTTTTTCATCTTTGCCTCTAGAGCCTTGTAATTCTTATTAGCCTTCCCCAACTTCAAAAAAGTATATCATCTCTTTTCCTTTCCAATACTCTCTTCCTTTGTATTCTAAAATGACTGCTCCTTCCCTATTCAGTTGACCCTTGAACAATTCAGGGGGTGGGGTCACAACCCCTTCACAGTCAAAATTCATGTCTAACTTTTGACTCCCCAAAACTTTACCAATAGCATACTGTTGACTAGAAGCCTTACTGATAACATAAACAGTCAATTAACACATGTTTTTATGATATATGTTTCATATACTGTATTCTTACAATAATCCCTAACTTTTTCTTAAATTTTTTGGGTACTTCATTTGCAAGTTCCTTCAAATTGTCACAAATCCAAAAAAATATTTCCAACATATTTATTGATAAATACCCACACGGGGTGCCTGGGTGGCTCAGTCAGTTAAATATCCAACTCCTCATAGTTCAAATTGTATTGTTCAAAGGTCAACTGTATTTACTTGCAGTCATATTCTAACTAGGTTCCCTCATTCCTCATTTTAAAATCACCATTTGAACTTACTCATTCCTGAATCCCTCCCACTTCTTACTTTTACTGTTCATCCGACCTATGAATCTGCTTCCTTCTCTGCCACACTCTCATTTTTTTAAACGTTTTTATTTGTTATTGAGAGATAGAGAGAGACAGAGTATGAGCATAGGAGGGGCAGAGAGAGGGGGAGACACAGAATCTGAAGGAGGCTTCAGGCTCTGAGCTGTCAGCACAGAGCCCAATGAGGGGCTTGAACTCACAAATCACGAGATCATGACCCAAGCTGAAGTTGGACGCTTAACCAACTGAGCCACCCAGGCACCCCAACCCACACTCTCATTTTTATTCAAAAATTTTATATGCTAGAATGATTGCAGCTTTACATATAACTTAGTCAACAGCTCTTTAGGTTCATGCTTTCTGACTTTCAGTTTTCAACTTGTGTCTTTCTCTTCATTATTTATTGCTGTCCAGTAAATGGGGATTGAGTATTAACATGCAAAACACAAATGAGGAAGAGCAGCAGTCTTTCTGAGTACAGAAACCAAATAGGAGGAAATCTAAATAGCATTATCCAAAGTGAGGTTCATAAACGGTAATAGGGGGACTACTGAATTAGTTGCACCTGGGATAGAAAAAGGCTAAGGAGACAGGAGACTAGAAGAGAAGGACTACTAGATATTTCCTTTAGGGAAGAACAGCTAAAGATGGCTTGTGATAAGGGAAATTACTTATATTACCATTACCTCTAGATTAAGCATTATTTCTTAGTCTTCTTTCTGTCCTGCCTTTCCCAACTAAATACATAAAATGTCTGCTTATTTGAATTATACAATAATAAGTGAAAAAGAAGAAAATTATCTCAGAGGGAAAAATCAGTTTTATATGATCTCATAGCAAAGGCTTTCAACATGAAATAAATAACCTTCTCTTCATTTAACGTATAAATAATGGCAAGCTCACTCTCCTGGGGGAAAGTAAAATTGTGTTATTATTATTTAATATTAAGAATACTCATCATTTTATCTTGCATGAATTTTAGTTTGAATATTTGTTAAATATTTAAGTGATTGTTAAATTTGATGCTAAGTTGAGGGCTTCAATCATTCCAAGACTTCTAAGACTTGTCTGGTGGTTTCTGAAACAAAAGAAACAAATTATCACTGAGTTTACTTGAAACTCTTATCAAAGAACACAAAATCTTTATTAACAAAATTTCCAGCCCACTCAGTTAAAAATACCAAATGTCATTCCTAAAGAGATGGATTGGAAGATTGAGAAGATAAATGTGTTAAGGATAAAAAGGATAAAAGATAACGTTTAAAAAATATTTTTAAGTTTATTTATTTATTGAGAGAGAGAGAGCGAGAGCGAGAGGGAGATAACAAAGGGAGAGGGGAGAAAGAATCCCAATCAGGCTCTGCACTGTCAATGCAGAGCCCAATGCAGGAGGGCTCGAACTCAGTAACCTTGCTGAGATCAAGAATCAAATACTTAACCGACTGAGTGATCCAGGTGCCCCAAGGTTAAAAGTTTTGTTTGTTTGTTCTTTTAGTGTTTGTTTATTTTTCAGAGACAGAGACAGAGTGCAAGCCGGAGAGGGGCAATGAGAGAGAGACACACACACACACACACACACACAGAATCTGAAGAAGTTTGCAGGCTCTGAGCTGTCAGCCCAGAGCCGGACAGAGGTCTCGAACCCAAGAACAACAAGATCATGATCACTTGAGCTGAAGTCAGACACTTAATCAGCTGAGCCACCCAGGCCACTCAAGGTTAAAAGTTTTAACCTTTACTTCAGCCCATATTGTCATATAATCCTTTTCTACTAGAAAATCTAGATCTTAGTAAAATATTACCTAACAAGTTATATATTAGCAACAAGATCAATTTTACTTTAAAAGCAGTTTAGTTTTTACTTTATTTTGATTCTATTTTCTAAATTCATATTAATAACATGTGTACAGCTATGAACAGTTGAGTGAGCTTATATATCTTAGTTGCCTTTCCTTGATTTAAAACTATGGTGTGGGAGAAGGATAATAAAGAAAGCAACTTAGGAGACAACCAGCCAAAAAAATTTAAATATTTGTTTATTTAATATTTCACTGACTCATTTCTGACTCTAATCTTGATTCAAGTTAATTTTCGTTGCTTCCAAATAGCATTGCAACTTTTCTAGTAGACTGGATTTCTCACTTTTTAAGGGTTTCTCAAAGCATTAAGAGTAGTCATTGGTTTCCTTTGGGTATATGTAGCCCATGATGACAAGTGGTTTATTCATTTATTAGTTGGAAAATGCAGATGTACCTACATCTTAAAAAGGCAATATATATCAAATGTGTATATAATACATACATATAGTAGGGTAGGCTGTACATATAGGATAATGAATAAAATTATAGAGTAATAAAATATAAAACCTGTCCATATAAACAAAATGAGTAAGCATAAATAGTGGTTTTATAGTCATCTAAAATAAAAATATATATATATATTGCTACTGACCTATCCAAACTGTAACTTTACCTATCTTCCAACCAGCAGTGTTTCAATGCATTTAAAGGGGATCAAGTGAGAATGTGTTCGGTTTAGCAAAGCCACTCCAGTGAA